AAAATATGGTTTTATTATATAAAAAAGACTTAATTAACGAAAAAGCAACCAAAAACGATATTTAATAAACCAAAAAGACTAAAATATCCCTAATTTAAATGAACGATTTTTAATAGATTTAGTTTCAGAGACGAAAATAACAATAAATTACAAATCATATAAATGAAAAACGAAATTTCAAAACAACGGGGACGAAAATCATAGTTTACTCGAATATTAGATACACAAATATTCAATATTATGCTCATTTCGAATGTATAGATGAGACGGTTGTAATGGTATAATTTGTAAAAAAAAAACGTATTTTTTAAATATATTTTAGCTCATATACGATTATTTATGTTAATATGCTAAGAGTGTAAAATGAAAAAAAAAGGATATAAAATAAATTAAGTAAATAATTATAAAGGTATAAAGTGTAATTTAAAATTTTAAAAAGATTTGTTTTTTAAATCATTCCGAAAATGTAGGAAGTGGTTGGTTAAGGAGAAAAATATAGATAAGGGTGTAAAATAAAATAAAAAAGATATAAAATAATTAAATAAATAACTATAAGGTATAAAATGTAAATTTAAAAACAATTCGTTACGTATTTATGATATTTAATAATACAATCAAATCAAAAAAATATTCGATATTGATCTCATTTTAAAGGTATTGACGAGACGACTGTAATGATATAATTTGTAAAATAAATAAATGTATTTTTAATGCATTTTAGTTTATATACGATTATTTGTGTTAATATGATAAACCTGTAAAGTGAAAAATAAAAAAGTAAATGATATAAATTAAATTAAACAGGTAACTATAAAAGCATAAAATGTAATTTGAAAATTAAAAATATTTGATTTTAAATATTATGCTGGGATTGTGGATGTTCCACAAGCTTTAACTATTGTACATTTGGCATAATAAGTTATACCTCTTAAAAATTTCGACATAACCATAACTCGTGCCTTTTAATATAGCATAGATGATAATCAAGTTCCTACCCGTAAAAATATCCAAACACCATAAAAGAGTTCAAGAGGCGATAAATGAGAAACCAAAGAAGACATGGTGTTGATGTCAACATTGATCTACGTTAATGAAGAATCCGCTTGAGGCAAAAACCAAAAGAAACAAACATTTTGGTCAGAAACTTGAGCAGAAAATGCAGAAGGATTGGAAATCAGGAACGAAAATCAAATGAAAGGTCGTTTTGCACGACTTAACGAAAGCGCAAACAAATGGATTGATGCGTACAAAGAAGCATATCAACAGAAAATGAGCAGAATGACTATGAAAGATGTTGAGAAAGAGACTCGTGCAATTTATGAGATGAGTGAGAACAAGTTTAATGACTTGTTTGTTTCTAACGAAGTTATGTGTAAATATCCCAAGTGATTCGTTTATTCTATTCTTATACTTAAAATAAAAAATTATATATATATATATATATATAAATTTATGATTTTACAATATAATATTTTAGTTTAGATTGGATTGGAAGAGATTGTGGTTAAATGACAAAAGAAGTAAAATTAGATTGAAGATTGTATAGGCGGATGAAAAAGAAAATGATATTTTAATTTAGATTGACTTGTAAATGTGCGTTTGGTACAATGAACATAACAGGACAAGACATGACAGGACAGAGATTCTTGTCCCATGTTTGGCATGAATTTTATGTGGAACATACATGAACAGAGTGGAATAAAGAACAGAATGGAATAAAGTGGAACAGACCTGTTTCACCCCTATCTTATGGAACAGGGTGGAACAAGGTGAAACAGACTTATATTTTAATAATATAACCTCAAAATAAAACTTAATTTTTTTCTAAAATATCAAATAAGTCTCTTTTTTACATTATATTCATTCTTTAAATTTTATTTATTGTATTTTATGTTTATTAAACTTTCATTTTACTGTCATCAAAATATTATTTTTATATGGTTTCTATATTTTTATTAATTTATATAATTTATTGCATATTAATAATAATAAATAATATAGAAACTAGATAAAAAATAAAAATTGAAAACTACATAAACTTTTTATTTGGTGTCATTTTAATTGTTTTTGACGAAAACTTCAAATGATATATTTTGTTATAAAAAATAATTATTCTATTATAATTTAATAAATTACATAAATTAATTAAAATAAACAACTCATCAGGGGTAAATTGGTCATTTTACTTGTTCTGTTCTATCCAGTTTTATCTTATCAAACGTAGAATAGTTGTTTTATCAAGTTCTATCATGTCCTGTTCTGTCTGGTCGTGTTCTATCATGTACTTTCATGTCTTGTCTGAACACCAAACACACTTATGAATAAAGATAGTTAACCCATACATAAGATATAATATAAAATTATAATGGTACCGTATTATTTAAACCGTAATTTAATACGTTAAAAATGAAAAATAATGCATGGTGTGATTATGATACGGTAACGGTACGAAGGGTTTACACAATTCCTTAATTTCTAAACAATAGTTAAATTATATAAACCATTATTTAAATACCGTCAACATCGAAGTAACTTGTTGCCAAATGCTTAGGGGCTGTTTATCAAAATTTTTATTAAGTTCTATCTGAATAAATTTGTCTGTCCGGATAAATTTGTCTCTCTAGATAAATGGGTGTTGTTGTTTACTTTTTTTTATCTGAACCAACAGTCTGAATAACATAAATGACCGATTTACCCCCAATATTAATTATTTGAACATCAAAACAAAAAAACATAAAGAGRTTGACGATGGGGTGTCTCATTTGGGAAGGAGGCGATGCTTTAAATAAGGGGTATGATGCCATTTTTGTGGTTGAATGGGGACAACACACAAAGATTAAGCAATGTTCTGTGTGAATCAGCCATAAGTAAACAACTCAAACGGGCTGTGCGAATAAGCCAGATAGACCAATAAACATAATTAAGCTGCAAGTAAACAGCCTCTTAGGGGTCGTTTACCCAATTGCTTACTCGGTAAGTGCTTACCGATATGAGTCAATACTATGATTTATTTTGATAAACAAGATTTTAGTACATCAAAACATATCGAATGCAACAATTTACTGGGTAAGCGTCGTCATCCTCACTTACCGGATAAGACTTTCCATCATTCTCATCGCTCTTACCCGGTAAGATTCTTGGCCCTTCTCATGTTAATTCAATAAGAAAATTTATCCAGTAAACACTTACCAAGTAAGTATTTAATAAACGGCCCTTTAGTGTTATTTTTGAAAAAAAATATTTGACCAACTTATTTTGGATACATTCTAATTAAACAACATAAAATAATCAAATCATAATAATTTTGTCAATTGTTTAACTTTCTTACTTTTATAAATATTTTAATTGATATAGATTATATATGATTAGAAACGTATTTGCACAATATAACGAGATACATATCGATTTATTATTTGTTTTTATCGATTTTATAATATGGTTTTGTATGGTTTTGAGGAAACAATAATGTTTTTATATTTGAATAAAATAAATTTTGAAGACCCCGTAAATTTTTTTTAAAAAATGTAACGATATTAGTATCAAATTAATAATTTTAAAGCTCTCTTTTTTATTACTTTTTTTAGTTCGATTATTAATATGGATTTAATAACGAAGTGATTTATTTTAGGGTTAATAATATAATATTTTTTTAATAAAGATAATTTTTAGATCAATTTTATTATTATAATTTAATTTAGCTTTAGTAACGAATTAATTTATTTTAAGTTTAATAATATAAATGTTTTTTTTATAAAGATGATAATTAAATATTCTGTTACAACTTAATGATTATTCTAATTATATTTTAAATACTCTATATTTAAAATGAGATATTTATCATGTATTTAATTATGTTTATAGTTGAATTTAAACATATAATATTAAAAGTTGTATTTATGCATCATTTACTTGTAATACATAAAAAAAATGATTTTTAAAAATTTAATGCATACTTTATAATCTTGAAAAATATATATTATTAACTAATACTTAATACATAAAAAATGATTTTTAAAAATTTAATGCATACTTTATAATCTTGAAAAATATATATTATTAACTAATACTTAATACATAAAAAATGATTTTTAAAAATTTAACAAATACCTTTTTATAATCTATACTATATTATAAAACATTTGACAAATACTCTTAAAAACCATTTTTATGCATATATTATTGTTTATTGATGCATATTACTTAAAATTTGAAGTCACAAGTAAATTGTACGTAAACACAACTTATTAAAGCTCTGAATCCGTGTAACTAAGTGTAGATAAACATATTCAACTACAAGATAAATATATATTTTAAATATAAAAAATCTAAAATATAATTAGGATAATCATTGATTTAAACTTATAACAGAATACTTAAATATTATTATTATAAAAATTATATTATTAAAAAATAAATTACTTCGTTATCAAACCTAAATTAAATTATGATAAAAAATTTGAATTAAAGAGACTACATAAAGAACGATAATTTTTAAATAATTAATTTAATACTAATATCGATGTATTTTTTCAAGCTTTTATGAATAAAAATATTATCGCTTTCTTAAAGTCACATAAAATCGTATCATATTGATAGAGACAAAAAATAAAACGAAACATTATCTCAACATATGTTATTGCGTTGTATAAATATCCTTTTGGTTGTTTGGTTACCTCTTAATAATTTCATTAAGAGGCAACATCTGAATCATTAAGAGGTAAATCTTGTTTGATAAAAAAAAGTCTGACTCTTAATGGTTGTAAAACTCTCTGAATGATTATGTATCATAGATCTCCCTTAACTATTAAGAACCCTAATTTCATTATATACAATCACCAAACAATTATATTTTATTTTACACTATATTATAAGAGCCTTTTAATTATTCTCCGCTAACACCATTTAGCAATTATCAAAAAGCTGTTAGTATAATATATAATAAGAATTAAATAAAAGAGCATACCCTCATATAAATCCCACAAATATCTTTCAGTCTCTCTCTGTGATTTAATTTTAAAACTATAAAGCAGAACCCCCCCTTCTTTCCTTCCTTCCTTCCTTCCTTCCTTCTTTCGCCTCTCATGGCAGTTTCCTCTGCCTCCGCCACCGGTGGTTGCTTCACGACGTAAAACGTGTCGGTATCCGATTCTCGGAAAAACACCAACACGATACCTTGACCTAGGTTTTTTAGAGGGGGGAGAGACAATCAACGGCTTCTGTTCCTAAATTTATATATAATAATGGCCAAAAAGAGGAAATCGTTGGCAACGACCCTAGACGAGGTCGATCGGACGATGTACTCCAATTTTTGCAACGCCGCTAACTCTCTCTCTCAGCTTTACTCGCAGGCCATGAGCCAACAGAAGCTTTCTTTTCTATCCGGTGAACGCCACGGATTGGTATGTCAAATTACAATTTTCTTTTTGTGTTTCCTGATCTAATTTCATTTCGAAAAACCCTAGGTTTTTGCTTTAATGAATTTTGATATCTTTTTTGAAGCCTATTGTTAACCTATTTGTGTATGTACATGCCACTGTCCTTTTGCTTTAATTTAAAACATTCATCTTTATTAGCAAATTGATTAGGATACCGCTATTTCCAGTGCGCCTTTTTGCTTTTCTAGGGCAAGTATTCCATTTTCTTCATTGCATTTGCTAATTAGTGCACTGCCCTGCTGGATTTGTCATGTTTGGTCATTGGTGTGAATAGCACCGCTCGTTGCCGACGCAAGTTTTAGTTTTTCTTTGTATACCCATGTTTCTTTTCTGAATGCTGGAGCGTCAAAACTATGGACTTGTTTAGTAACTTGAATATTTTTTCCTGATATTTTATTCTGTTTGTTCAGTGGTGGGATTGTTTGTGTATCTCTGGGTTTTCATAGTTGGAAGAGGGAGTTAATTGTCAGTGGTACATGTGGGAATGCGTGCTTCATAACTGTTATAATCTTCTCTAAAAGACGTGTGTTTCATCACTAAATGAGTGTATATATAGATTACTAAGATGCTTGTTGGGCCAGTGCTTCACAAAACCTTAACGAACCTTCCAATCGGAATGTATAAGCTCTTTTTAATCTTTCATACTAACATGCACTCAAAATGTCTGTCGTGTCAATTTTTTAAAATAACCTTAAATGTATTCTTGAATAAATCCATGACCTTCTCATAAGCATGGAGCCATTGTTCCTTAGTAGGTCAAGAGGTCATGGATTTAATAGACCAATCATGAAACCTTTTTTATAATCCTAAAACCATTAGGATATTGTAAAACACAGAAGAACATGTGAAGTCTCTATGAGGTTTCTGGTTCAAGGAAGTAGCTTTAGGTGTTCTCTCCCTTGTTTTTCAGTTTTAGCACTGCCTTTCTTATTTTCAAGTTCTGCAAATTTTTTGAGCAAACTTTATCCTCTCTTTTCTCATAATTTGCACAAGCCAGGGGTCTACTCATCGAGGTAGAGGCCAGATCTGCATACACCCCACCCCCCCAAAAGCAACCTCTGGGTGGGAATATACCAGGTCTGTTTAGTTTAGTTTGGTATGCTTGATCTTAGAAATGATTTGCAATGGAAACATGATATCGATCTTGTAAAACCAGGCTTAGGCTTTTACCAACTGTAATAAGCTTTACAACATGCTTTGATATTAGAAGTATAAGAGTACTTCCATCTCCCATGCCTTGACATTAGAAGTATAAGAGCACTTCCATCTCCTTTCATTGGCCATCAGGAGTAAGAGTTTAAGGCAATACTTCTCTCTTTTTCCGGTGATCGACGTATCATTCCCAAGTGATGAAGGTTGAATTCATCTTCTAAAGGAAGAAGTGTGGACACCTGACATTGTGTAATGAGGGGATTGTTTGGTTTTCCATAAAATTCTAGAGCTCGATACTGTTGGTACTTGCTGAAGCAATTGTCTCATAAGTAGCATAGACTTTTCTTATCCATCCACCAGTTTGGATGAGATGTCTGCTTCCCTTTTGTGCCATATCAGAATGGCGTGTACTTGTTTTTCAATACTGTGTATGCACTTGCATTGGTTATCGAAGTGATTAATTGGGTTAAAATAGTTAATAGGTATGACCGTGGGTTGCAATTCGACTTGAATGAAAACAAGGGGAAAAACTCTTTAGTTCTCTGAAACATTCCATGTAGTTTCATTTTCACGAGCCTTGGTAGGTACAAGGCACCAAGGCATGCATAAGTAGAGACTAATAAGATGGATGCCAAATATGGAGTTGAATCCATGGTTGCGAGAGTGTGAACATATAAAATATACACTAGCCAGGAGGGAAGCTATAAGAGAGCAGGAGGAGAAGCTACAGGTAAAACCTATGTTGGGATACAATATGATAGTTTTGGTAGATTATGTGGTTATCTATGTACAAAGACACTAACAATATGCTATCGAGGAGCAGTAAGTGGGATGTTAGGGGTGTTTATTGTGATGGAATGATGTCTCTTGTATGTACTAGCATGGTTAATTTTATTGTTTCTTTTTGTATGCACTAGTTTGTAACTTCTACAAATTATCAGTAGCTAGTCTTATTTGTATTGGAGGCATGACACTAGGTAGACTCTTGTTGATGGATAGCAGACAGAATATCAACTGAAATTCCATTTTGCAGGAAAAGCTCTATCAATGGATTTCTAAGCAAGAAGCGGAAGGATTGAGAGTGACCTCGGAAGACATACTAGCCTATATCCAGGTCACTATTTTATAAATTGGACTTACAAAGTTACGATCATGATTCATATCACTTCTCATGTATTTAGTGTTTGATGCTACTACTCCCACACAAAGATCCCTACAAATGCATTTTTGTATCTGATCATTAATTAGCATGCATCATTTTATTTGCAATTATTATTATTACCATTTACTCAAACAAGTCAACCTCATTCATTTTTTTTAAATATGATACGGCTGGTTGCACATGATCCAGACTGTTGATCAGAGTTTGAAGTACCGTCCTGGTTAAGTCATGGATTTTCATCTGTCTTTAATTCGTTAAGTAACTTACAACTGTATGTTTAAGTTTGTTGGTGGTCTCTTTCATTTGATTCTTCCTGCTGTATGTGGGCCAAACTACTTATTGCTGGTCCTTCGCTAGATGTAAGTTTGATTTTGACTCATCTTATTGACTTTGATCTACTGTTTGCCAGCATCAAACTTTGTATCTGCTGCTGAGCTTGCAATACTTTGCAAAAGGCAAATAAAAATATTTGCTTATGAATATATGTCAAGATCTGGGCTAATTTCTTCTTTAATTTGATCACAAGATATAAAGGCTCAACATCACAACCTGAGTTTTCACATTTTTTTTTCCTGAAATGCTTGGATGGTCATTGAAATGCTAGGGTGGTCACTACTTCTATTGGCTTGATAGTTATCAAGTTATGTATTGGCATTTTAAGATCATCTGTTCTCTTTGTAGACCTTTTAAGTTTTGGGACATAACTTTAATAATCTCCCAACTCCATTTGTGTGCTTCCTGCTTGCTTGTCAATGACTGTAAATTGTATTATTTCAAAATAAAGTTGACACTTCTGAAGCATATAAATGCTATGATTGTAAGGATGGAACTGGCCCAAGTAGAGTGTACACTACTTTTGGTATTTTGACTCTAAAACTCAAAGTATCTATATCAGCATAAACAGGAAGCTCAATGTATTTCCTCAATTTCAAATATTTACAACCAGGGAGTTAGGAAGGAGTGATTGTTTTGATCAGCCCTTTGATTTACCTCTTTTTGGCATTTGACCTTATTAGGTTTAATGGGGTTTGAAGTCCAATTTCTGAATTCTGAGCATCTAACAATATGTCTTTATTGTCTGCTAGACTATTCCCTGTTTTTCTCTGTAGTCTACTTTCTTTAGCAATTGAACAGGGTGTTCTTTTTGATGTAACAATCTTTCCAATTTCTGAAGTGTGTCTTATTGCCTGCTACACTATTCATTCTTTTCCTGTCAGTAGTCCACATTCTTTGACAATTAAATAGGGTATTCTTTATTGATGTAATATTCCTTCCAATTTTTAATATTGGCCCCAGTGGTTTTCGTCATGATTGTTCTTGACGAATTGCAAGATAATCCAAATTATCCTTTTTATGTGGTTTGACATGTCTCTTGTACTATATAGCAATATGGTGGGTTTGTTAGAGATATCCATTATCTTCATGCTGTTATGTTGTATGTGGTTCTTCAGAAATCAAGGGAAATGGGTTCATTTTATTAAAGTTCTTACCTTGTATGTGTGTGAATGATTTTGTATTTTGTAGACAATGCAATGAGACGGAGATAACAAACTTCTATTTTCGTTAGAATAGCTAAAAACTGTGCACTGTTTATGGAGGTCTGCATGAAAGGATGCCATTGAGCGGTTGGGGTTTGTTTGCACCATTTTATATTTTATTTAGTCAAACTCAACTAGTTTGGGGATAAAAGGCTTGTTGCTGTTGTATGTTAGGACTCATGATACTGTACAAAGATGTGGCCTGGTAATTATACAGGCACTTCGATGTCAGCTATTATGTACAGTGAGAATTTGTATGAAAACTGATAAACCGTATAAACGTGAAAATGGGAGATAGATAACTGATGCAGTAGTCATGGTTATATCTCTACACTGGAACTCCTAATAGGGATAGCAAGTGACCTTCTCTGGCAGGGTATTGGCTGGAATGGTGATGAAAAAAATTAGTCTAGATGTTGGTGGTGCTGATGATTACCATGATTTCCATATTGTGCTTTTGGATCCCATGTACTTGGCTCACCTATTTTATGAGGAAAAGTATGGGTGTGTGTGTGTGTGTGTATATATATATATATTTATATATAGTTATGATTGTAGTATGAATGCATTGTAGTGATGGGTATATTTGAGTTGGCAGGGTGAGCTAGAATCATCATGTGTGGAGGAGGCACCATTAGCAAGACAGCAAGTGACAAATCCCCCATCGATAAATTGTGGGTCATCTAGTGATCAAGCAGCGTCGAAGAACTATATATTCTCGAATGCTTTGTCGAGCCCTGTTCGTCGCAGCCTTCAGAACTATCACATATCCAGCCAGGTGGAAAATCAGATTCTTGATTCTTCAATGGACATGCATGCAGATCATGATTAACAACTACTTTTCACTTCCTTCTGCAATCCAAGAAAGAAGTTATATTCTTCATGTTATTTGTAAACTACCTTTTGGATTCTTACTCTTTCATCTTTTATGATTCAAATCATGCCCTTTTCCTCACCTACATTTGTCTATGCATCCATTTATGTATTTTTTTTAATTAACCTGGATATCCAACCCGCTATGCCAGCCGACTAATCCCAGGGTGACCACCTGTTTTACAGATACCCTGGAGACACAGCATTTGAACCTCCATGGTCACAAGGGGATCTTTATTTCTTCTTGGATTTGAACATGTGACCTCCTGGTACTTTTGACCTTTGGAGCCAAACTCAAACCAATCAGGCACCACCCTTGTGGTGTCATTTATGTATTTTTAGAACCAACTATTTATGAATTATCCATGAGGGATATCATGTTAATATCAAATGCATGATATTCGTGAATATATTTAGTATTATTCATCATGAATATTTCAAAAAAAAGTTGGTTCTCGGTTTCTCAAAATGTTTTTGTTTTTCGTTTGTTATTTTCAAACCATAGTTCAATCAGTAGTTATTTGTATAATGTACGGTCATGGTTCTTTTTTTAGGCGACCATCTGCTTTGCAGTTAGCCTGGAGTCACCGCATTTGAACTTCCGTGGTCATAAGGGGATTTTTATTCCTCTTTGGATTTGAACTTGTGACTTCTTGGTACTTTTGATCTTTGGAACGAAGCTCAAACCAATCAGTTGTGTTTATTGCATATGTAATGAGTGTCTTGACCCTTCTTTACAAATATTAAATGACATAAAGCATTTGTAGAAGTTTGGAATAAGAACACCTTTCTTTTTAGGCCTTTTTTTTTTGTTGACAATGCCATTATAACCTCCATGAATCCACCATACTTTAAAAATTCATGTCAAAGGTCTCCTTTACCCATTTATAAAAAAGCATAAAGAAGACCATGCAAATTATTCCCCCCTAACATGCTCTTTCCTTTACTTTCTTAGAGCATCTCTACCCTTCCTAATTGTATGTACCTTGTGCATTATTACTTGTACTTAGCTTAGCTATA